GACATGGATTACTGGAACCATGTTCTGTGGTCTGATGAGACCAAGATAAACTTATTTGGCTCAGATGGTGTCAAGCGTCTGTGGCGGCAACCAGTGATATTAGACATGTTCTTACCACACACTCAAGTTAGAGCTCAGTATGAACTTGTCCTGCAGGTGCTGCATCTCATAGGCATGGGCCTGGTGGAAGAACAGCAACATCTAATCAGCAGCGCAGATGATGATACCAACTTCAACTTCACTCTCAAAATCTCCAGTATGTCTTTCTTTTGTCACACAGACACACCCACCCACCCACCTCTTGAGCTGATTAATTCTCTTCATTGTAGGACCAGGTGAGGCTCCTGCTAACACTCCCAGTATCTTGGCTTTATTGGAAACCCTGCAGAATGCTCCTCACCTGGAGGTGCACAAGGACATGATCCGCTGGATTCTCAAGGTAAAGCTGATCCAAATCTCATTACAAAGCCCCACCTGTCACTAGAATGTAGAGGGGACCATGGGACCCGACCAGATTTCTTGCAACGTGGGATTAAATTTTCAAATAAAACGTGTATATATAAAATATAATTTGAATGGGGGCGTGCGGTCTAACAATATCCCGTTCCTGACGTCCTTTCAGAACAGCATATCTGCGCTTTACTCACTCTCAATTTTTGTACAACCTTCATTTTTATTTTCTCTGTGACACTTTTTTCCTACTGTGTTGACAGCAAGATGTTAAACATTTTGTGTCTTGACAAGACGAATAAAATAACAAACACAATTTTGTGCAGACTACACTTTTATTTGTTAGCCTATCTCTCTTTCTTTCAGTAGCAGAAATTTAAATGTGAGATTCTGGAAACGAGATCTAAATTTAGCGGGAAAGGTCGGGTCGGGAAGAAAATTTATTCTAAGCGGACAGCGGGTGAACAAAGTGAATATATCGTGGGTGTGGATTATAACCTTGCGGTAGCGGGACTGAGTAAAAAAGGAAAGAAAAAAAATATTTATTAGATCTTTATTTTAATTGTTCGGTATTTTAAAATGTTACTACTTTTTTTTTATTTGATATTAAATATTTAATATTATTTATTAGTTAAATATATTTATATTATTTTATATTAATGTATTTATGTATATGATTATCATGTTTTTGTTTTTTCTTTTGTTTTTTGTTTTTAGCTTTTTTCTTTTTTTTTTAAGTTTGTTTCTTTTAGTTGTTTTTATTTTTATTGAAATTCTTATATTTTTTTATGTATTTTGAATATCAACATGAAAAACATGTTAATATTTCATATTACTTCTGTATCTGAAGACCGTGGCCAACATCAAGACCACGCGGGTGTGCACGGCCAGTGCGCCCCCCAGTGACAGCTCAGGGCACAGTCAGGAGGAGGTGAGCATAGGAAGCGTAACATGCTTGCATTATGACTTGTTAAAGTTGCATTGTTGTCTCACTGGATGTGTGTGTATGTGAAGATGGTGCGGGATAAAGATAAGGCAGAGCGGAAGAGGAAAGCAGAGATGGCGCGGCTCCGGAGAGAGAAGATCATGGCTCAGATGTCAGAGATGCAAAGACACTTCATCAACGAGAACAAAGAGTTGTTCCAGCAGAGTCTGGAGGAGCTCGACCCCTCCACCTCCTCCACACTGGAGCACAGGTACACACACATCACACTGGAAAATGTCATGGATCATACATTAGTTTCCAGATGCTATCTTCTAATTTGTTGTCCTCTCTTTACTTCATAGCCCCAGTTCATGTGATAGCACACTGGTCTGTGTGGGTCCACGGCGGTGGCGTGCAGGCGGCAGTGAGAGGAGACAGATGGTGACATGCATCCTGTGTCAGGAGGAGCAGGAAATCAGGACTGATGGCAAAGCCATGGTGCTCGCTGCTTTTGTCCAGCGCTCTACTGTCATGTCCAAAAACCGCAAGAGACCTCCACACAACCCAGGCATGTCTTTATATGCGTGTCTTTGGGTCATCGTACCATACAAGTGCATGTTTGGTTGAATGAATGCTATTGTGTTTGTGTTGCAGATAAGTATGACCCTCTCTTCATGCACCCTGACCTGTCCTTCGGTACACACACAGGCAGCTGTGGGCACATCATGCACTCTCACTGCTGGCAGAGGTAAGAATCATCATGAAAAATGAGAAACACAATACCGTGAACTAGAGGTCTACACGGAGGACCCAAGACCCGAGGACCCGGGACCCGACCCAGGATCCGAACGGGTTCGGGGCTATATTTTAAATGGTCAGCTGGGTCCGGGTCGGGTCCCAATCTATTACTTCGGGTCCCGGGTCTGTTTAACATTGTGTGTAATATCCCGAGTCAGTCAACGCTGTGCGTGTGTTGTTTTGTAACTTTCAACTTGTAAAATTAGGATGAGAAAAGTGTGAGTCGGTAATTTGAAATAAGGTGGGAAAACCCCATCCCCCCGACTTCATCAGAATCAAGGTGGGCGGAGTTAATGCACACGCACAGTGATAATGGATACCTTCATGGGTGATGTCAATGATTGATTTTTTTTTTTTAAATAATATTATTAATGAACCGTCTTGTTATATCTAAAATTTTTGCTCGGACTCGGCTCAGAGAGCACAGAGATGATAGTATTTTGTTATATCATTTTGTGACAAAATCAAAGGAAACAAGTATAAAATGAATCCCATTTTGCATTGTTAGCTATGTTCTCATTATTATGCATAATTGGCTCTTTTTTTTTTTGGGAGAACTGAGATACTTTTGTCCAATGAAATGCCATTTTGTATATTAATATGTTGAAGGGATGCGCTTATTGACTGAATCACAAATAATTGTGTGTAAAACGGTAGTAAACAATGCTAAACCAGTCTGATCATACATTCATACTTAGATCATACTCAGTTGGTTTCACTGTTCTGGGGTCATTTCAGTTCAGCAAAGAGATCAAAAGTGACAGTCAAGATCAAATAAATGCTGTTATTTTCCTTGACAAAAAGTATCATTGTTTTCACAAAAATATTACCGTATTGACCCGAATATAAGACAATTTTTTTTTTTTCTTGGAAATACATCTGAATAAACGCGGTGGTCTTATATTCAGGGTCTAGACTTTGACATGTCAATAATACACCCACAACAATAGGTGGCGCCAAATACACATAAAACGAGTGTGCCATAAAATACGTAACGTAATGCGTGTTGTAAAGATCGCGAGTAAAAACAAAAGAAAAAGAAAAGCTTACAGCTGCACGAGTCGTGACTGTCACGTTAGCCTGATGGGACCAAACTCCCTTTGTGATTTTAAAACGTAAGACAGTACCCAGATTTGAAGACTACAGTAAGATTTAACTTCTACTGTTAATAAGATTTTGGTAGGCTACTATTAGATGGATAGCCTAAATGTCCTAATTCAGATGGGCTACCGGTTTTTTTTTTTATGGTATATCAAAAAGTGTATATTTTTTAAATGTGATTATTGGTACATTTTACCAGTTTTTACCATACTTTCAAAACAAAAATTAAAATAGGAAAAATATGAATATTGAAGACAAAATGTGTTTTACTGAGAAAAAACAAGATTTGGTTTTTAAAGCCTTTTTCCAAAAGGTACATCTGGAAAAAGGGGGGTCGTCTTATAATCAGGGTCTTATATTCGGACCAATACGGTATATGCACCACACATTGATAAAAATAATAAATGTTTCTTCAGCAGCAAATCAGAATGATTTCTGAAGGATCATGTGACACTGAAGTAGGCCTCTCACGATAACAACTTTTTGTTGTGCGATATATTGCCCCAGAATTCCAGAATTAATTGCGATAAGCGATATTATTGTAATTTTTATGCCACTGAATATATAATCATAATGTAACAGCATAATAATGCAAGAAGGGCCTACACACTTCCAAATGACAACAAACTTTTAATTTAAGAATATTTCGATCATGGAAATTAAGTATCAAAATATTAGATACCTTAAAAAACTTGAATAAATAGTAAATATTTTCTAACAAAAAGTGCAAAGTGACAAGTACAAAAAAAGAAAAATGCACAAAGAACTTGTATGGAGATTTTTTCCATCTACAGATCTTTCCCTGACCTTCTTTTCTCTGTAAATGAAGGGTGCACACTATTGCTGAAAAACACAATCACTACTCAGCAGTCAGATGTCCGTATGCACAAAGGCAAAGATCCCTAAACAAGACCATATCTGCAGATTGGGTTGCAAAGGGGTGGAAATTTCCTGAAACTTTCCAAAAATCCCTGGAATATTCCAAAAAATCCTGGAAAGTTTCCAAAATTTCTGGAATATTTCTGAAATTTACTAGAAATGTTCCACCTTTTTGCAACCCTATCTGCAGATGAAACTTTTTTTTTTTTTTTTTTTGGTAAAAGTATTTTTAAAATTTGATCTAGCACCTCATGACTACACCACGTTATGTACGAGAAGCTGCCAAAGACACAGGCGCAAGTGGAATATTTTTACATTTTAAAATATATTAAAATAGAAAAGTCATTTCAAAATGACTATTTTTACACTTTAAAAAAAAAAAAAGAAATTTTATAAATATTTTCAAATAAATCTACCAAATCGATGATAATATATGTCATCTAGTATATAAGTATTGTAATTGATTTCAAAAATGAAGAAGGAAGTTTGGTTTTTAGGGGGACTGTTTCACCCCTACTAGTTTCTAATCTGAAAGCTGTATGCGTTTCAGTGGCCTGCATGAGGTGAGCTCAGGCTGGCATCTGTGGCACTGTGTGAAAGCTGGAATCCTGCCTTATCTGAGGGCAGCCGCTCTCTTCTTCCACTATCTCAATGGAGCTCCAGCACCACCCGAGTTTCATAGTAAATGACTCCAACTTTACACACGTTTTACTGGCTCACTCTCCCTTTTGCTGTATCAGTTCTAACGATGACTGTGTGTTCAGCTCTAGGTGCGGGTGAATGGGAGGCTCTGTGTGGATACCTGTGTCTGCCCTCCAACCTGCTCCAGCTCTACTACAACAATCAGGAGCTCATGGAACCTCTGCTGCACGGGTAACCGTCACTATCTAGTAAAGCATCTCCGAAAACTGTTAACATAATGATCAGATGTTAGCTGTGGCTTTAATGAATTGTGGTGTGATCCGGTGCTCTCCAGGTGGTGCTCTCATCCAGGTGTGCTGCAGGGTCTTCAGAGCGGCGTGGCTCTCATCAGGTTTGTCCTGCTCCTCAACACTCAAGTGTTCACTGCAGCCGATGTTCAAGTGCTCACCATTCTTCCATTTGCTGTTTTAGGTTTCCTAGAGAGTCCAATCATATCATAGAGCTGCCAGGCGACTACAGCGCCCTGATTAACCAGGCCTCCAGCTTCACGTGAGTCACCTCTGTCTTACGAATCAAATGCGATTACTAACTAAGACATGCTCTCTACTGAGTCATACATTCCTGGTTCATTTGATTCATCCATGAATCAAATGATCTGTTGATCTTGGTGGCGTCTAGGTGTCCTAAATCTGGTGGGGATAAGTCTCGCGCTCCTACTCTTTGTTTGGTGTGTGGTGCTATGCTGTGCTCCCAGAGCTACTGCTGTCAGACCGAGCTGGAAGGAGAGGATGTGGGCGCATGCACCGCACATACTTTTGCCTGCGGAGCCGGAGTCGGCATTTTCCTCAGGTTTGTGCAAGCATATGTAGATTCAAATCTATGAATATAATTGCCAAGTTATGTAAGGGATAAGGTACAGTTATTATCATTGGGTGACCACAGGGGTCGGGAACCTTTTTTGACCAAACAGCCATTTTTTAATTTGATTAATGCTTTTTTCCAAAAGAGCCATAGCAAAAAATACAATATTTTTTATGTATATGTATTCAATAACATTTCAAATATAGTATCTTTGGGTCAATAGTAGGGCTGTCGCGATTCGTCGATTTTATTCGACTATTCAATTTTTAAATCCTCGACTTAATTTTGCTCGTGTCGACTAACCGACAAAATACCAGAAGTGGTGTATTTCACGGACGAGATTGTATAAAACACATTTTTAGTCTATTTTCCAAGGCTGCATGATATATTAAACCCATTTAAAAATGATAATTAAGCATAATTGTGAATTCACAAACGCTGCGGTTTAATTAAATAATTATATGCGATGCAGTTCTAATACAGTATATGCGCTTTAATTATTTCCATGCGTGTAGGTTAAGTACATGCGTCACACAGCGGCTCCGTTCACAGTAGTTCCACAGTAACTGTTATCATTTACATGTGTGGAGCGTCTCAAACTCCATCTCTGCATGTTGTTGTGAGTTTGGGTTTATTATAACGTTCATCTGGGAACACAACGTGCGCCATTTCATCAGATTTGTAAGGTAAATAATTTATAAATCTACGCAAAATACATTGCGGTTTCAAAATAAAAGCTCAAACCCTCACTCTTGAGTTTACACGTTTTGATGTCCATATATTCTTTTAATTACAGTGGCTATAGCATTTCTGTCCTAAATAAATGGCCAAATATTAAAGATTAAGTGGACAT